TAAATATGAGCTGCTTTTCCCGAACTGAGAAAATACGAAATACTTCTGCAAAAATTCCAATGTAAGATTTTTTAAAGATTATATTACCGGGTAAACGCCAACAGTGGCTTGAAAGATGCAAAACCAACGAAGAAAATTTGCCAAAAGAGCCTATGGTTTGTTCAGATCATTTCTTTAAAAGTGACATTACAATCAATTCAAAACGTTCAAGATTGGATAGAGATGCTATCCCAATAACTACTAGATATGTACATGCGGTTACATTATTTTCAAAGATGGGTCTTACAGAATTTGGCTTTAGAACTTCAGAAAAAAAAGTTCAAAATTATACCTATACAAATTTATTGTCCGTGGGAGGGTTATATAAGCCAAATACCAACTTTTTGAACCATTTGGAATACTTAAATTCTATTTTTTTAAGATATAATGAAAATTCACTGTCAAGTAATCCTAATTATATGTCAAATTTGTTAAATTATCTAAAATTAATTTAGATAAGAAAATTGTTAAACGATTTTATATAGGCCGAACATTTTTCCGAATTAGGTTTTTTAAACCGTCATTTAAAAGAAAACAAATATTCACACAGCAATAAAAAAATTCTCACTTAATAAACCCGAAATGTGTTTTATTTATAAGTTTGTAGAGGAAATCAGTAATTTAATTAACTTCCTTTAATATAACATTTTATTTAGATAAATTAACTACACATTTATTGTAAAATATTCTTGAAATCCATTATTATTATTTTTAACATGTGGCAACTCTGTATATAAAGTTAAAAATAAGGAAAACGTCAAAAACCTTATTTAAATTTAATTGTTTTGATTGAGACTACCTTCTATATTTCTGCTATGGTAAAAACCTGCAAACTGACAAGTAAAGGAACAAAGCTAGTATTTATTATAGTTTGGCATTTTTAAAATAATTTTCAATTGAGAATTTTTCTAAAAATATAATGTTTTTGTAAAAATTTCCTTTACTTTGTGCTAAGTCATTGCCACCTTTATATGTGAATAAAATAATTATTCAAAGTTCTCAAATGTCCATTCATTAAATTGTTTGCATGTTAACATTAAATTTTTATTAATTAATGTTTTCATATATTTAAAACAAAAAAAAAATTATTAATAATTAAAAAAATCACATCATCAACAATCGTACATTAAGAACAGCGGCAATATTAAAAAATATATATATTTTTTTTAATGATAATATTTCTCTTTCTGTTTTGTTTTTTATAGTTTTGCTTGGAATTATAAAAAAAATTTATTGCTCGTATATTCTTAAACATGGGTTGCTTTAATTGTTTTAGAAATAAAGAAGAAAAAAATAATAATTAAGAAAAAAAATATTACTTTAACCGGATTTTGTTTGGTATTCTTTTTGGATTTTCTAAACATAAACTTCAAATACCACATCATCATCATCATCGCCACCATCAAACAACGAATCTGTTGAAGTTGATTAACTTTAAAAATACCAAACTAAAATAAACGTCATCATTGAGATATAATATGTATTTAGATATTTTTTAAGCTTTTTAACTATTTATATCTAAATTAACCCGTTTTACATCGAAACATTCTGTTACGTCCCTTTAAACTGGCGATACATAGTTAGAACTTATTCTGGGTTTCAAGATCCGGTTTGGAAAAAGTTCTAAAGTTTTGTACCTCCAATTAATAACTTCTCACACCAAAACGGGTTAATCTCATTTTGATTTGATGTATTGTATATGATTTTTTTCCGCAATATTATTATTTTTTTATGTTTATTGTTTTTCAAAAATGATTCTTATTGTTCTTTTGTATTACTGCTTAATATTGTTTGATTTTTATATATATTTTTCTATTCTATTTTTTTCTGATTTGTACAACGCCATTCGATGTATAAACTGTGGGTTTTGTGGCAAGAAAGAAAAAAATGTATAAAACTGAGTTGTGTTTTTACGCGGATTTTGTTTGATTTGTATATTTTTTTTTATAAATTGTTGGGAAATTTTATTATTTATTTCTGTTCGTTAGTGTGGGTTTTTAAACAAAATCCAAAAAAAAAAACTTTTGTTATTTTATACACATTTTTTTGGTGTTCAAAATAGGTTAATACGAAAATACATTGTTTTATTTTATTTTTGGGGTAAGATGTATTCAATATGATTTGATTTATTTGTAAATTTATCGACAAAAATGATATTTAAGTTTTTTCGTCTTTAATTTCTATACGAAATTGAAATTTTTAGCTATAAATCATTTACAAATTAGTATTCTTTGTGCTAAAATTGTTAATACCTTACATTGATGATTCAGATAGTGATAGCGGTTGGTAGGCTTTGGGCAATCAATTTACATTACTAGGTATATGTATATGGTTAAATATGTACATATGTTTAGCATAATCTTTTAGGTTTTGTTGTATCATTCATTGATGAAATTTAAACATTTTGATCGAAAATAGACATTCATGATGCAAATTGAGATTCAAATCTAGATCAGTTCTATTTCAGTTCTAGTTCAGGTCTAGTTCAGTTCTAGTTCAGGTCTAGTTCAGTTCTAGTTCAGTTCTAGTTCAGTTCTAGTTCCAGTTCAGTTCTAGTTCAGTTTCAGTTCAGTTCAGTTCTAGTTCAGTTCTAGTTCAGTTCTAGTTCAGTTCTAGTTCAGTTCTAGTTCAGTTCTAGTTCAGTTCTAGTTCAGTTCTAGTTCAGTTCTAGTTCAGTTCTAGTTCAGTTCTAGTTCAGTTCTAGTTCAGTTCTATTCAGTTCTAGTTCAGTTCAGTTCAGTTCTAGTTTCAGTTCTAGTTCTAGTTCAGTTCTAGTTCAGTTCTAGTTCAGTCTAGTGTCAGTTCCAGTTCAGTTCTAGTGTCAGTTCTAGTTCAGTTCTAGTTCAGTTCTAGTTCAGTTCTAGTTCAGTTCTAGTTCAGTTCTAGTTCAGTTCTAGTTCAGTTCTAGTTCAGTTCTAGTTCAGTTCTAGTTCAGTTCTAGTTCAGTTCTAGTTCAGCCTTCTCTCAGTTCTAGTTCATTCTAGTTCAGTTCTAGTTCAGTTCTAGTTCAGTTCTAGTTCAGTTCTAGTTCAGTTCTAGTTCAGTTCTAGTTCAGTTCTAGTTCAGTTCTAGTTCAGTTCTAGTTCAGTTCTAGTTCAGTTCTAGTTCAGTTCTAGTTCAGTTCTAGTTCAGTTCTAGTTCAGTTCTAGTTCAGTTCTAGTTCAGTTCTAGTTCAGTTCTAGTTCAGTTCTAGTTCGTTCTAGTTCAGTTCTAGTTCAGTTCTAGTTCAGTTCTAGTTCAGTTCTAGTTCAGTTCTAGTTCAGTTCTAGTTCAGTTCTAGTTCAGTTAGTTCGTCTAGTTCAGTTCTAGTTCAGTTCTAGTCAGTTCTAGTTAGTCTATAGTTCAGTTCTAGTTCAGTCTAGCTTCAGTTCTAGTTCAGTTTAGTTCAGTTCTAGTTCAGTTCTAGTTCAGTTCTAGTTCAGTTCTAGTTCAGTTCTAGTTCAGTTCTAGTTCAGTTCTAGTTCAGTTCTAGTTCAGTTCTAGTTCAGTTCTAGTTCAGTTCTAGTCAGTTCTAGTTCAGTTCTAGTTCAGTTCTAGTTCAGTTCTAGTTCAGTTCTAGTTCAGTTCTAGTTCAGTTCTAGTTCAGTTCTAGTTCAGTTCTAGTTCAGTTCTAGTTCAGTTCTAGTTCAGTTCTAGTTCAGTTCTAGTTCAGTTCTAGTTCAGTTCTAGTTCAGTTCTAGTTCAGTTCTAGTTCAGTTCTAGTTCAGTTCTAGTTCAGTTCTAGTTCAGTTCTAGTTCAGTTCTAGTTCAGTTCTAGTTCAGTTCTAGTTCAGTTCTAGTTCAGTTCTAGTTCAGTTCTAGTTCAGTTCTAGTTCAGTTCTAGTTCAGTTCTAGTTCAGTTCTAGTTCAGTTCTAGTTCAGTTCTAGTTCAGTTCTAGTTCAGTTCTAGTTCAGTTCTAGTTCAGTTCTAGTTCAGTTCTACTTCAGTTCTAGTTCAGTTCTAGTTCAGTTCTAGTTCAGTTCTAGTTCAGTTCTAGTTCAGTTCTAGTTCAGTTCTAGTTCAGTTCTAGTTTAGTTCTAGTTCAGTTCTGGTTGTTAAATTTTATGAATGGCTTTAACTGTAAAACCCGGAATTTATGTAATTCACGTTATGGCTAAATACCACTTCCGGCTTCATAACTTTCGGTTTTCTATTGTAATGAGTAATTCATATGCATTGGTTAAAAATTATTCCTTTAAAAAATAAATTACATTTACTATAAAAACTGATTTAATATAATTTTCCGCATCTGCGTTTTTCCTTAACAGCAAACAGCTGCTTAGAAAATATTTTATTTTAGATAGTGAAATAATAAATAAATAATTCATTCCTGCTTAGCATGTCGCTATTAATTAATCGCTTTTTTATGACCAACAAATATTTAATATATAAAAAGCCGAGAATGTGTTTTATTTATTCCAGTTTTAATTTGAAAATTGGTTTGTTGTTTAGATAGAGATAGGCCCCAAAAACATACACACAATCCGCAATATACAAACAAACAGTCGCATAAACACACTATTAAAAGATAATGAAAAGCCATTAATAACTCGCATTCAAATATATAGTAACGAAATAAAGAAAAAAATTGAACAAATCCAATAAATGTTACCACAGATGATGGTGATATTTATCAATTAATTGAATTAAATACATAGACCAACTTGTTCGGTCATAAGTAGTATAAATTCTATATCTAGATAAACTTTTTTTGTTATTTTTGTTTTTAATTATTATTTGAACATTTTTATGGCATCAAAATGGAATTTATATTTAATCTCTATAATTAAAAATATACAATATACTAGTTTTTAATAATAATTATTAAAAACTAACTATTTAATCATAAAACAACAAAAACAATGTAAATAATAATGGTAATAAAAAGTAAACAATTAATTTACATAAAATGCAAATTTTTTTAAGTTTAATAACATCTGTTTTAATTTTGTATATTTTTCTTCTTTCCACTTTTTTCTAGCATTATAACATTTGCAAAGCATGAAGGGTTGGTTTGATGCATTTCGAGACGATGGTGGACCTACACTATATTCATTTTCAAATCGCACACCTGTAACGGGTGATGTATCCATTGTTGCCGTATCTGTATTATTTGCAACATTCTATGTTGCTTTCTTAGTTATATTTCCAGGTGTAAGAAAACAGGTGAGTCTGCTGGAAACGTTAAATTATTTGTTAATTTGTTTTATTAATATTTATGAGGGTAATAAGTATAAATTTGTTTAAATTATTGTCACATTTTATAAGAGAGTATTTTGATTTGTAATATATATAATATAGTTACGTTGATACAATGAAATCTGTTGTCAACTGATTTATTCAACTAGGAATTGCTACTAAAGAAAAGTAGTTTTACAAGAAACGGAACTTTAGGTTACATGTAAGTAAATTTCAAAGAACTATAATAATATCTTAACGTAATTAAAGTATTAGGAATAAGAGGTTTTGTTCCTAGTTCAGTTCTTGTTTATTTCAGTTCTAGTTTAGTTCTAGTTGAGCTCTAGTTCAGTTCTAGTTCAGTTCTAGTTCAGTTCTAGTTCAGTTCTAGTTCAGTACTAGTTCAGTTCTAGTTCAGTTTACTAGTTCAGTTCTAGTTCAGTTCTAGTTCAGTTCTAGTTCAGTTCTAGTTCAGTTCTAGTTCAGTTCTAGTTCAGTTCTAGTTCAGTTCTAGTTCAGTTCTAGTTCAGTTCTAGTTCAGTTCTAGTTCAGTTCTAGTTCAGTTCTAGTCCAGTTCTAGTTCAGTTCTAGTTCAGTTCTAGTTCAGTTCTAGTTCAGTTCTAGTTCAGTTCTAGTTCAGTTCTAGTTCTAGTTCAGTTCTAGTTCAGTTCTAGTTCTAGTTCGTTCTAGTTCAGTTCTAGTTCAGTTCTAGTTCAGTTCTAGTTCAGTTCTAGTTCAGTTCTAGTTCAGTTCTAGTTCAGTTCTAGTTCAGTTCTAGTTCAGTTCTAGTTCAGTTCTAGTTCAGTTCTAGTTCAGTTCTAGTTCAGTTCTAGTTCAGTTCTAGTTCAGTTCTAGTTCAGTTCTAGTTCAGTTCTAGTTCAGTTCTAGTTCAGTTCTAGTTCAGTTCTAGTTCAGTTCTAGTTCAGTTCTAGTTCAGTTCTAGTTCAGTTCTAGTTCAGTTCTAGTTCAGTTCTAGTTCAGTTCTAGTTCAGTTCTAGTTCAGTTCTAGTTCAGTTCTAGTTCAGTTCTAGTTCAGTTCTAGTTCAGTTCTAGTTCAGTTCTAGTTCAGTTCTAGTTCAGTTCTAGTTCAGTTCTAGTTCAGTTCTAGTTCAGTTCTAGTTCAGTTCTAGTTCAGTTCTAGTTCAGTTCTAGTTCAGTTCTAGTTCAGTTCTAGTTCAGTTCTAGTTCAGTTCTAGTTCAGTTCTAGTTCAGTTCTAGTTCAGTTCTAGTTCAGTTCTAGTTCAGTTCTAGTTCAGTTCTAGTTCAGTTCTAGTTCAGTTCTAGTTCAGTTCTAGTTCAGTTCTAGTTCAGTTCTAGTTCAGTTCTAGTTCAGTTCTAGTTCAGTTCTAGTTCAGTTCTAGTTCAGTTCTAGTTCAGTTCTAGTTCAGTTCTAGTTCAGTTCTAGTTCAGTTCTAGTTCAGTTCTAGTTCAGTTCTAGTTCAGTTCTAGTTCAGTTCTAGTTCAGTTCTAGTTCTAGTTCAGTTCTAGTTCAGTTCTAGTTCAGTTCTAGTTCAGTATAGTTCAGTTCTAGTGCAGTTCTAGTTCAGTTCTAGTTCTAGTTAATTTCTAGTTCAGTCTAGTTCAGTTCTTAGTTCAGTTCTAGTTCTAGTTCAGTTCTAGTTCAGTTTCTAGTTCAGTTCTAGTTCAGTTTCTAGTTCAGTTATAGTTCATTTAGTTCAGTTCTGTTCAGTTTCTAGTTCAGTTCTAGTCAGTTCTGTCCGTTTTAGTTCAGTTCTAGTTCAAGTCCAATTTAGATTACTTGACATCTCTCTGGTTTAAGCAAAATTTTTGGACTGAGATCATAATGTTCTCAGTATAAAAATTGTGTATGAGAAGTTACGCCTTTTTTTTTATATAATTTCAATCTTGATTAGTGAAAATGCTTCACCGAATCCAATACCTTTTCTCAACCCCCAACCACACCAGCAGTTGTTTACTCGCTTAAGTTGTCCAATATTATAAAGTATTTATTCATTAACTTTATGTGACATTAAAATTGATTTTGCATTTAGTTGTGACATGTATGAGAACCTATTTTTGTAGTTAAAAAACTTTTGTACTTGTTGTTACTATTGTACAAATATAATTTTTGTGTTGTTTTAGTATTTTCAATTTGATCGCTCCATTTATCTGTAGTTATAGTCATTTCAAACTAACAACGACTACCAACCAACAACAACTAAACAAATTCTGCCACATATGGCCATTTTTACAATACATATAAACTATTATTTTGTCAGTTGTAGTTGTTGTTCGGGTAATTTATATACATTTATACCTACAAATGTACATTTAAACCGTTAGACAGTTTATACTCTCTACTATAAATTTGTTTGTAGTTTTTTTATATTATACTTATGTTTAAAATGAATTTTAATCGAAAATCCAAAAAAAACAACTAAAAATGCCTTTATTCAATTAATGCAAATTTTCTAATCATTTTTGCATATTTAGAGAGTCATTTTATTTGTTTATATTCGTATGCAGGCAGAGATACATGGATATACAAATGTATGTGTGCATACACAGATACTTTTATTCATGTAAAATCATTAATTTTAATCCATTTCGTTCATACCGTAATTTGGTATTTAGACGTTTTAGTTTGTTTTAATTTTTTTCTGTTCAAAGGGAATGGTACGAGTAATATATACATAGATTTCCATATATATGTACTATGTACATGCTTTTATATACATACAATACATTTATTGTATTTGATATTGTGATGTTGATTACCCAGCAAACAAATATGTAAATTTAGGAAAATGTACTAATTCTTTGAAGAGAACCAATTTAAAGTTTATAAATATGTCAATATCACTGTATAGATTCTCCTTCTTTAGGAATTTGGCTATGACGAACTAGTCTTGTGTAAACGTGAACATATCCGCAATAATCGATGCACTGGGTGACCTAGGTGTTGATCAGCGGATAAAAAAATTGGACAGAAAACATCCTCAAGAGCAGGGCCATTAACTCTACTTAATATGAATATTGGCAAAACAAGGAAAGTTATGACAAGGATCACACCACAAGATGGTGTCATCTCTCCACTTCTGTAGAATCTTGTTGTAAATAAAATCCTTTTCAGACTCAGTAGGATGGGATTCAAAGTAGCCGCATATGCTGACGTTGTGCTTCTTATTCAATGGAAGCTTTTTCCCCAATAAGTGAATTCTATCATGTTCAATTCACCAGGTGGTACAAAATTCCACAATTCAGACCACCGCGTTTGGACGGTAACATTCTGACTACCTCAAGCGAAGCCAAATATCTTGGCGTAATTTTAGACTCTAAGCTCACGTGGAAACGTAATGCTGAGAGTCGAACAAAGAAGGCACTATGTGCGTTCTATATATGTAAGAAAACCTTTGGGAAAAGATACATACAATGTGGACTGGATGTAAACCGCGGTCATAAGACCTATTTTGATCTACGGAGCTCTTGTTTGGTGGAGAGCGGTGGATACCAAGACTTACCGCTCTATTCTAAATAAGGTACAAAGATTAGCATGTCTTGCAATCACTGGCTGTTTGAGCTCCACCCACAGGCTATTCTAGAAACGATACTAAATATAACACCCCTTGATATATACATAGATATAAAATACATTTCTGCTAAATTTGCTCTACGACTTAAACAGTCGAACGGACTGAAGAAGCATGATCGCATTGGTTATGGCATCATCCTACAAAAGATAGGCAGGCCAATCATGTGGCAGGAAATAGACTACATACTATCTATACTGAATTTTAATAGGTCATTCAAGACCAAAATACCGAGAAGGGATGATTGAGAGAGAAGAATGCGGTAATTTCACCATACATACATATATACTTGAACAGCCTTGCATCAATCAATGGTCTTAGCTCCGATGTTATTAGGTCGAAATGTCTTCTGAATTGTATTCAATCATTGGCACAACTGACACACCATCACGTTGAGTTGATATGGCTTCCAGGATTTGAGGGTATCCTGGAAAATTAAATATCTGATGAATGCGCATTAGACTTAAGCCTTGCGCAAAGGGATATTCACACTCCCCTAGTGACCCTATCAAAATTGATAAATGACTGGGCTTTGAGTGAGACGGAACTCAGGTAGTCAAATATCACCACTTGTAGAATATCGAGACTGCTCTGACCCACTCTGATAGGATTAGGGCTCTCTTGTCTCTTAGTAAGAAATCGATTAGGCTTCTAACTGGTATAATTACTGGGCTCAGTAATCAATAGATTAGATAGTCTTGTCTATAGTCTAGACTATAGCCTTTCTTTGGTCTAGTCCATAGACTAGACTATAGACTAGACTATAGACTAGACTATAGACTAGACTATAGACTAGACTATAGACTAGACTATAGACTAGACTATAGACTAGACTATAGACTAGACTATAGACTAGACTATAGACTAGACTATACCACTAGACTATAGACTAGACTATAGACTAGGACTATAGACTAGACTATAGACGAGACTATAGACTAGACTATAGACTAGACTATAGACTAGACTATAGACTAGACTATAGACTAGACTATAGACTAGACTATAGACTAGACTATAGACTAGACTATAGACTAGACTATAGACTAGACTATAGACTAGACTAAGACTAGACTATAGACTAGACTATAGACTAGACTATAGACTAGACTATAGACTAGACTATAGACTAGACTATAGACTAGACTATAGACTAGACTATAGACTAGACCTATAGACTAGACTATAGACTAGACTATAGAGACTAGACTAGGACTATAGAGACGACTAGACTATAGACTAGACTATAGACTAGACTATAGATAGACATAGACTAGACTATAGACTAGACTATAGACTAGACTATAGAGACTAGACTATAGACTAGACTATAGACTAGACTATAGACTAGACTATAGACTAGACTATAGACTAGACTAGACTATAGACTAGACTATAGACTAGACTATAGACTAGACTATAGACTAGACTATAGACTAGACTATAGACTAGACTATAAACTAGACTATACACTAGACTATACACTAGACTATAGACTAGACTATAGACTAGACTATAGACTAGACTATAGACTAGACTATACACTAGACTATAGACTAGACTATAGACTAGACTATAGACTAGACTATAGACTAGACTATAGACTAGACTATAGACTAGACTATTGACTAGACTATAGACTAGACTATAGACTAGACTATAGACTAGACTATAGACTAGACTATAGACTAGACTATAGACTAGACTATAGACTAGACTATAGACTAGACTATAGACTAGACTATAGACTAGACTATAGACTAGACTATAGACTAGACTATAGACTAGACTATAGACTAGACTATAGACTAGACTATAGACTAGACTAACTAACACTAGACTATACACTAGACTATACACTAGACTATAGACTAGACTATAGACTAGACTATAGACTAGACTATAGACTAGACTATACACTAGACTATAGACTAGACTATAGACTAGACTATAGACTAGACTATAGACTAGACTATAGACTAGACTATAGACTAGACTATTGACTAGACTATAGACTAGACTATAGACTAGACTATAGACTAGACTATAGACTAGACTATAGACTAGACTATAGACTAGACTATAGACTAGACTATAGACTAGACTATAGACTAGACTATAGACTAGACTATAGACTAGACTATAGACTAGACTATAGACTAGACTATAGACTAGACTATAGACTAGACTATAGACTAGACTATAGAGACTAGACTATAGAGACTAGACTATAGAGACTAGACTATAGACTAGACTATAGACTAGACTATAGACTAGACTATAGACTAGACTATAGACTAGACTATAGACTAGACTATAGACTAGACTATAGACTAGACTATAGACTAGACTATAGACTAGACTATAGACTAGACTATAGACTAGACTTTAGACTAGACTATAGACTAGACTATAGACTAGACTATAGATTAGACTATAGACTAGACTATAGACTAGACTATAGACTAGACTATAGACTAGACTATAGACTAGACTATAGACTAGACTATAGACTAGACTATAGACTAGACTATAGACTAGACTATAGACTAGACTATAGACTAGACTATAGACTAGACTATAGACTAGACTATAGACTAGACTATAGACTACACTATAGACTAGGCTATAGACTAGACTATAGAATAGAATATAGACTAGACTATAGAATAGACTATAGACTAGACTATAGACTAGACCACAAACTAGACCACAGACTAGACCACAGGCTAAACTACAGACTATACCACAGACTAGACCACAAACTAGACCACAGACTAGACTACAGACTAGACTTTAGACTAGACCAAAGACACGACTATAGACTAGACCAAAGACAAGACTATAGACTAGACTATAGACAAGACTATAGACTAGACTATAGTCTAGTCTATAGTCTAGTCTAGTCTATAGTCTTGTCTATAGTGTAGACTATAGCCTTTCTTTGGTCTAGTCCATAGACTAGACTATAGGCTAGACTACAGACTACACTATAGAATAGACTATAGAATATACTATAGAATAGACTGTAGACTAAACTATTCTATAGTATATTCTATAGGCTAGTCTTTAGCCAAATCTTTAGTATAGTCTAGTCTACAGGCTTGTGTAAGGTCTAGTCTGAAGTCTAATCTACAGTCTAGTATGTCTGTAGGCTTGCTTATGAGTAGCCTAATCTTGTCTTAAGTCTAGTCTATAATCTAAAATATGTACTTAATGACGTCCCCGTTTTTGTTTAAATGTTGTTCTCCCCTCGGTTTACTCAAATGTTTACCGTAACACGTTAAAATGTACCCATTAAACTGTCCATGCACTCGGACAAGAATTTATTTTGTTTTATTATTTGTTTAATTTCGAAAAGTTATGGTTTGTTAGTTGAATTGCATTTAAAGTTTTTGTCATTTTTAGAAATATGGGTTTGTAATTATGAATATTTCTTTGCACTTTCGAGGTTTGTTATTGTAATTAATTGATGGAATCTACAGTTTAAATTAAAAACTTTAATAATAAAATTTAGGGGTTCACACATAAATATAGTGATTCTAACATTTGAACTCAAATAAACGTATTCTTTTTATGATTTTTTAATTTTTCTATTCAACGTATTAATATGTTTACTAAATTAGCTTTTGTACACCTATAAATATTAACTTTTTTTCATTTATTACAGAAATTTACAACATTCTCAACCGTCACATTAAGTCTTTTTGTGGGACTAGTCATACTAAGTGAGTATAGAAATCGACAATAGAAATACTATTTTATAAAAAATACTTTAAGCCATAAATTATGTGATATTAAATATTATGTGATATTATTATTAGTTATTCATAAATACATACGTGCAAGATGTGAGTTTAAAACAAATTGTTAAAACTGTTAGAAGAAATACACCAGCGACTAGAGAGACGGGTAGTTTATTAGTCAATCGTAATCCAATCTAAATCCTATTCTATGGTATATATTTACTGTAGTCTATAGTTTAATCAATGCTAAGGTTGAGTCTATAGTCTGTGTAGTCTAGTCTATAATCTAATCTTTAGTCTACATTCCAGACTATAGTCTTGTAAATAGTCTAGTTTATAGGGTAATGTATAGTAATCCATGTCTATAATTCTAGTATCTATTTTAGTTCCGTTTAAGTTTAGTTCTAGTTCATTTTAGTTATAGTTATATTCTAGTACAGTTCTAGTTCAATTCTAGTTCAGTTCTAGTTCAGTTCTAGTTCAGTTCTAGTTCAGTTCTAGTTCAGTTCTAGTTCAGTTCTAGTTCAGTTCTAGTTCAGTTCTAGTTCAGTTCTAGTTCAGTTCTAGTTCAGTTCTAGTTCAGTTCTGGTTCAGTTCTAGTTCAGTTCTAGTTCAGTTCTAGTTCAGTTCTAGTTCAGTTCTAGTTCAGTTCTAGTTAAGTTTTAGTTCAATTCTAGTTCAATTCTAGTTCAGTTCTAGTTCAGTTCTAGTTCAGTTCTAGTTCAGTTCTAGTTCAGTTCTAGTTCAGTTCTAGTTCAGTTCTAGTTCAGTTCTAGTTCAGTTCTAGTTCAGTTCTAGTTCAGTTCTAGTTCAGTTCTAGTTCAGTTCTAGTTCAGTTCTAGTTCAGTTCTAGTTCAGTTCTAGTTCAGTTCTAGTTCAGTTCTAGTTCAGTTCTAGTTCAGTTCTAGTTCAGTTCTAGTTCAGTTCTAGTTCAGTTCTAGTTCAGTTCTAGTTCAGTTCTAGTTCAGTTTTAGTTCAGTTCTAGTTCAGTTCTAGTTCAGTTCTAGTTCAGTTCCAGTTCAGTTCTAGTCTGTAGTCTAGTTTTAGTCTAACTTATAGTCTAGTCTATATTGTAGTTCAGTTTATAGTCTATATTCTAGTCTATATTCAAGTCTATAGTTTAGTCCATAGTCTAGTCTATCGTCTAGTCTTCAGTCTAGTCTTCAGTCTAGTCTTCAGTCTAGTCTATAGTTTAGACTTCAGTCTGGTTTATAGTCTAGTCGACTTTGTTTATATCTAATTAATAATTTTTCGTATTTTTTCAAACATCTCATATCTAAATATGTTACAACTTTCATAGCCTAACCCGTTTAAAGAGACCCTAGTGTACGATTTCTAAATTGTTTTCTAACTAATAATACACAATTGGCTATTTAAATTATATATTTATACCAGCTTTTTTAAATTTTAAGTTACAATATTTTTTGTTTCTACTCTTCTTAACTATTCATTAGTAATAAATTTTGTTGCTATATATTTATAATTTTTTTATTTATTTTAAAATATTTTTTTTTCTTCCAATACATTTTATATAGTCACAAGACTCGGTTCAGCATGGCATGTTGCACATACAACAATTATAGCACCATACAAAGCATTCTCGCGTGAGAAATTACCAGCTCGCATAGGAACCCATATTGGTTTAATGCATGTCAATGTTACATTGACGGGTAAGTTTTTATTTGTATTTTTTTTTTGTTTAACAATTTTCAAAAATTTTGTATTTTTCAAAAATTTTTTTTGTTGCTGATTGTTCGGTATTAGGGTGAACATTTTGGTTTTAAAACATAATTTTCTTATGGTTTTTATTAAATAATTTTGTGGAAGAAAATATTTCTTGAATTTTGTTTGCATTTATTATGGGTTGTGTTTTATGAATGAAATTATTTTAAATTGATTTTTGGTTTTTAATGAATTTTAAACATGATTTTAATGGAATTTTTTTAATGTTGATTAAAACGAAATTATAATGGGACTTTGGAATGTAATGGAATTTAATTTATGTTTGGATGAATTATAGCAGGTATAATATGGGAAATATTCAAACTTTTACTCTCTTTGATATCTCTTCTATAGACAAAAATGTGAAATGTTTAATCAGAAAATTTTCTTCGGAGATTGTTATTATGAATGATTCAGATTTGGAGACATTGCGAATCAGATTGACTTCTAGATTGTAAAATCAGTACTTGATATTATTCTGAACCAGGAATTCAGGTAATTTATATAGTAAGTGAAAGTTGTCATAGAGTCAGGTTCAGATGTAGGTCAGTTCTAGTTCAGTTCTAATTCAGTTCTAGTTCAGTTCTAGTTCAGTTCTAGTTCAGTTCTAGTTCAGTTCTAGTTCAGTTCTAGTTCAGTTCTAGTTCAGTTCTAGTTCAGTTCTAGTTCAGTTCTAGTTCAGTTCTAGTTCAGTTCTAGTTCAGTTCTAGTTCAGTTCTTGTTCAGTTCTAGTTCAGTTCTAGTTCAGTTCTAGTTCAGTTCTAGTTCAGTTCTAGTTCAGTTCTAGTTCAGTTCTAGTTCAGTTCTAGTTCAGTTCTAGTTCAGTTCTAGTTCAGTTCTAGTTCAGTTCTAGTTCAGTTCTATTCAGGTAATTTATATAGTAAGTGAAAGTTGTCATAGAGTCAGGTTCAGATGTAGTTCAGTTCTAGTTCAGTTCTAGTTCAGTTCTAGTTCAGTTCTAGTTCAGTTCTAGTTCAGTTCTAGTTCAGTTCTAGTTCAGTTCTAGTTCAGTTCTAGTTCCGTTCTAGTTCAGTTCTAGTTCAGTTCTAGTCAGTTCTAGTTCAGTTCTAGTTCAGTTCTAGTTCAGTTCTAGTTCAGTTCTAGTTCAGTTCTAGTTCAGTTCTAGTTTCAGTTCTAGTTCAGTTCTAGTTCAGTTCTAGTTCAGTTCTAGTTCAGTTCTAGTTCAGTTCTTCAGTTCTAGTTCAGTTCTATTCAGGTAATTTATATAGTAAGTGAAAGTTGTCATAGAGTCAGGTTCAGATGTAGTTCAGTTCTAGTTCAGTTCTAGTTCAGTTCTAGTTCAATTCTAGTTCAATTCTAGTTCAGTTCTAGTTCAGTTCTAGTTCAGTTCTAGTTCAGTTCTAGTTCAGTTCTAGTTCAGTTCTAGTTCAGTTAGTTAGTTCTAGTTCAGTTCTAGTTCAGTTCTAGTTCAGTTCTAGTTCAGTCTCTAGTTCAGTTCTAGTTCAGTTCTAGTTCAGTTCTAGTTCAGTTCTAGTTCAGTTCTAGTTCAGTTCTAGTTCAGTTCTAGTTCAGTTCTAGTTCAGTTCTAGTTCAGTTCTAGTTCAGTTCTAGTTCAGTTCTAGTTCAGTTCTAGTTCAGTTCTAGTTCAGTTCTAGTTCAGTTCTAGTTCAGTTCTAGTTCAGTTCTAGTTCAGTTCTAGTTCAGTTCTAGTTCAGTTCTAGTTCAGTTCTAGTTCAGTTCTAGTTCAGTTCTAGTTCAGTTCTAGTTCAGTTCTAGTTCAGTTCTAGTTCAGTTCTAGTTCAGTTCTAGTTCAGTTCTAGTTCAGTTCTAGTTCAGTTCTAGTTCAGTTCTAGTTCAGTTCTAGTTCAGTTCTAGTTCAGTTCTAGTTCAGTTCTAGTTCAGTTCTAGTTCAGTTCTAGTTCAGTTCTAGTTCAGTTCTAGTTCAGTTCTAGTTCAGTTCTAGTTCAGTTCTAGTTCAGTTCTAGTTCAGTTCTAGTTCAGTTCTAGTTCAGTTCTAGTTCAGTTCTAGTTCAGTTCTAGTTCAGTTCTAGTTCAGTTCTAGTTCAGTTCTAGTTCAGTTCTAGTTCAGTTCTAGTTCAGTTCTAGTTCAGTTCTAGTTCAGTTCTAGTTCAGTTCTAGTTCAGTTCTAGTTCAGTTCTAGTTCAGTTCTAGTTCAGTTCTAGTTCAGTTCTAGTTCAGTTCTAGTTCAGTTCTAGTTCAGTTCTAGTTCAGTTCTAGTTCAGTTCTAGTTCAGTTCTAGTTCAGTTCTAGTTCAGTTCTAGTTCAGTTCTAGTTCAGTTCTAGTTCAGTTCTAGTTCAGTTCTAGTTCAGTTCTAGTTCAGTTCTAGTTCAGTTCTAGTTCAGTTCTAGTTCAGTTCTAGTTCAGTTCTAGTTCAGTTCTAGTTCAGTTCTAGTTCAGTTCTAGTTCAGTTCTAGTTCAGTTCTAGTTCAGTTCTAGTTCAGTTCTAGTTCAGTTCTAGTTTAGTTCTAGTTCAGTTCTAGTTCAGTTCTAGTTCAGTTCTAGTTCAGTTCTAGTTCAGTTCTAGTTCAGTTCTAGTTCAGTTCTAGTTCAGTTCTAGTTCAGTTCTAGTTCAGTTCTGGTTCAGTTCTAGTTCAGTTCTAGTTCAGTTCTAGTTCAGTTCTAGTTCAGTTCTAGTTCAGTTCTAGTTCAGTTCTAGTTCAGTTCTAGTTCAGTTCTAGTTCAGTTCAGTTCTAGTTCAGTTCTAGTTCAGTTCTAGTTCAGTTCTAGTTCAGTTCTAGTTCAGTTCTAGTTCAGTTCTAGTTCAGTTCTAGTTCAGTTCCAGTTCAGTTCTAGTTCAGTTCTAGTTTAAAGGAGTTAGCTAAACTTTCTTCTTGCGTGTTGGCATCCTTACTCTTGCTTAGTCCTAACTTCACTTCTTAGTGTCTCTCTTCTTTTTCTGCAATGGTAGCGGTAGTGTTTTTCTATTAAGATTCTCGTTTTTCGAAGTTTTAGTAATGTCGACCGGAAGACTTTTAAATCAGTTTAAGTTGTAAACAAATAGGGTATCACACCTGTCAACTATACTATATTTGTATCAAAAAATACATGTATTTTTTAGTATTTAATTGTCAAAAATTTCTAAACATGTAGTATATGTATTATATAAAATACTTTTTTTTGTCATGTTTGACATGTCAATACATTTAAAATCGCATAAGATTTATTGCAACCCAAAGTAACAGTAGTCCAATTTTGAAACTTTGCTGCTGGGAATGGTTTTGATACGAGTAGTAGAAGTAGTAGTATATGAGCCATTACGTGTACAAAATGTACAGAGATTATCCGTTACATTTTGATTGTTGCTACAACTAAAATATTTAAAATAATTCAAAATAAACAACAACATTTAAAAATGACAAACATAACATTATTTGAAACCATTAAAAATATATTTTATAAAAAAAATGGAAAATAAATTTGAAAAACAAACTGACGACATGATCCACATATCACTTTAAATGAAATCCGATTTATATAATCCTCATTTTGTTTTGTATAGCATCAACAAATACTATAAATAGGAATTGTATATTTAAATAAATACTTATGTATGTATGTTTGTATAACAATGTTTATAAATATTATTACGGTATTGTTGGCAAAACATTTTAGCTTCCGTATAAATTTAATTATACATATAATTATTATTTATTTAATTTAATTTTTGGTATTATATAAAAACTTAATTGATAGTCATCAGCATTATAACACACATACTCTTAATAACTATAGTAATGAATAAATGAATGAATGTGTTACTGTCAACTTCATATTTATTTTTGTTTCAATATGACTTAATAGTATCAAACGTCATATCATATTCGAGATTTTTGTCTTAAATTTTTTTTCGCTTTGTCTTGTGCATATCATTTTCCTAAAATCTTGCAATTACTTCTTGGGAAGTTTGTTAAAAAAAAAAAACGAAACAAAAATGTTTTGGCATTACATAGACAGCAAGCCACAAAATTAAACATTATTATTTTTTATGTTTTTTAATATTATTTTTTGGCATACGTCTTTATATGCATGAAGTTTGTCTTTTATATTATTTATACTCTTACTGTCTGGCTGTCATTTGGTTTATAAAGTTATACATCAAACTACTTAAGAAACAAAAAAATAAACCTAAAATCAACTTGAATATCGACTTGTTACCTTCTATGCGATTTAACAATACCTTTCAACAAATTTCAATACAATAGCTAGATTATAGATGTGTTAAGATTTGTATAGATTTTGAATATAATACTAAGTTTCAGTTACCGATACTACCGCCTGGTGTTATTTGGGGGTTTTTTTGATTTCGATTTCTTGTTGTTTTTTTTTTTTTTTCATTATATTTTTTGGCAACATGCAATATTCTTTAAGCATTAGTAAGCAATCATTATTTTTTTGTTTTGAATAGATTCATTACAAAATCTTGATTTTGCTTCTTGATAGTTGTGTGGTTGGATTGGTTTTGTTGTTGTTGCTATTGTTGTCTTTGAAATCATTGAGTATGACAATCATCTGTTTGCTTTATTACAAGGGCTGTAGCAGAAGTTGTAAATATCTCACCTTGTCTATTGTTTTGTGAAGTGAAGTAATGATTGAATATGAGTATGGACTTTTTCGAAAAAAATTGATATTGTTGGTATTTGGCGTTAAAAAAAAAAAATTTAAAGGGAACGTATGACTATAGCATTAGATAAAATCTGATAAAAAATTAAGATTTTAAAGTTTTGCAAACAACTGTTTGACATATTTGTTCATCAATTTCAAACTTTGGCTAAATTAAATATTATCTGATCAAATCATGATCAGTTTAGTTTCTAGTTTAGTTCTAGTACATTTCTAGTTCAGTTCTAGTTCAGTTTTAGTTCAGTTCTAGTTCAGTTCTAGTTCAGTTCTAATTCAGTTCTAGTTCAGTTCTAGTTCAGTTCTAGTTCAGTTCTAGTTCAGTTCTAGTTCAGTTCTAGTTCAGTT